TGAGGGACTGGTAACATAACTTGGTTTTAATATTTCTCCAGTTTGTGGCTGCTCTGAGAATTTGGTCTCACAGTATAAACTACTTTTGTGGCACTGAAACTGACTTTGCTATGCCAGTGGCCTTGTTTCCTTGACACAAAGAAATACTCAAAAAGCAAAGATTCTCTGTCGATTGTTGTTCCACACAGTCCGCTGTGGATGCCCATTCCTCTCTTGCTTTTGAAGGTGATGAGATTTTTGACCTGATGGCATCTGTGCAGAAGGAGCAGGCGTGCTCTGCACCATGTTCGTAACAATGACATATTGCTCCTAAGTCTCAGTTATTTTTGCTTGACATAGAATATTTGTTCTCCTTCCCAATCTTTCCCAGGTTTTCATAATAATTGTTCAAGTACTTTAAGTAGTATTTCTCTAGCTTTTCATTTGTTGCCTACCTGCAGAAGAAAAAGGGGCAGGGAATAAAATTCTAGGAAAACATCTCCTTTTCGCAAAAAACCACGGTCTTTGAATGTCCCTTTTCACAAGCATGACCTCATCAACGTTTCCAAGCTTCACAGTTTTCCCCTGTTGTGATGTAGTGCCAGGGACGGACACACCAAGAATCTTTATTGCTTTGGAGAAGCTCTTATTCTTTTTCCTGGCACAGATAGTCCATTAAACAGACAAAATATAAATGTGGAAAGATGGTTATTCTGTCAGAAGATAACACAGTTATAATGTTCTCTATTGTATTTAATGCAGGGCTGATGTGGTAGCTGAACAGAATACTGAAACCTATTCTGTTACTGTTCCAGTCTCTTCTTACACACGAATTAGTATTGGTTTAAACAGGTCTAGTCTATTCATTTTCGGGTCATACAGTGTACATGCAGGTAACCAGGAATTGCGACTATTGTACTTGAAAATGCACATATATGTAAACATGGTGGTCTTGAATCAATTGCAGTGTGTAAACTCTCATACTTTTTTTGTTAGCTGATACTTTGTGTACATGTGATCAGTGACTTATTTTGCAGTTATGTTAGAAAACATGTTGCATATTGAACCATTCGAAATTCTTTTCCTGTTTTAATTTTGTTATATTTTGTTATTAATTGATAAATTTGATTGATCAGTTGGTACATTTTTTAATTGCTAAAACATTGCTTTTTAATGCTGATGTCATTTGACTTCTATTTGGCTAACAGAAAGAAGGTTATAATGTATGTATCTCAGCATATTTGTTGTTAACTTTGCCTGTTCATTTTCAGAGACAGATGTATATACTTTTGGACTCGGACAATATGGGCAGCTGGGACATGGTACTTTTATTTTTGAAACTTCAGTACCGAAGTCTGTGAAACACTTGAGGAGGCACAAAATATGTAACGTTACATGTGGGGAAAATCATACTGCTGTAATAGCAGGTATGTAAGTGAAAAATTCTGAAATGCACTTCCAGCCACTCTCTATTATACTGCAAAAGCTTTCTTTATAAAATGAGCAGTAGAAGAAGGCATTTGCAAACTTTCTAGTTCTAAAGGTTAAGTGAGCTAGTGAGAAAGCCAGGTTCGATATTAGGACTTTCTGATTCACAGCCATGCCATGCATAGCTCTTTACCCAGTATCTCCTGGGGAATTATAACCTCGTAATCATGCCTTGGTAACAAGTATTCTTGTTTAGAAGCATTTGTTTTTCTGTACAATTTCAGTCTTCTTATTTTGTTGGTTTGGTTTGGGTTTTTTTACAAATTTTCTAGACTAGCTCTTATCTCAGACAGTACTTTGCCTGAAAATATACATAGTTTTTGATCATATTCATCTGTTGAAAATTGTTCAGGTTTTGCTTTTGGAAGAGAAATATTCCTTACTTGCATGGCCTGTTACTTTGTTTGTAGTGGGTTTGTCCTGGGTTTTTATTGAATCTTTGTTGTTAATAACATTCTTTTTTTTTTTTTTCCACATGCAGAGAATGGCCTTATGTTTACTTTTGGAGATGGGCGACATGGCAAGTTAGGCCTTGGAGAAGAGAGTTTTACAAATCAGTTTGATCCCACTCTGTGTTGTAATTTCTTGAGCTTCACGGTCCTTTTGGTAAAACTTTTGTTCATGCTTCTCAGACATCAAAAGGATGTTTTATGAAACACGTTATTAATGAGAGTTGAAATCTCATTATAGAATTATTTCTTTCTATAACATTTAAGTAGCAGACAACACAAATTGAAATAAAAAAGGAAATTATATTTAATTACCACGCTGTTCATTTAGTTCAGAATGTATTTGGCTTGGACTACACATATAGACTGCTTTTTAGGGTTTTGTTCAGTAGTGTTGGGCTACAATGTTTTGGTCTCTAGAGCTGTGGTAGCCTATAAAATTAAGTATTTGTTGCTCTCAGATTGTTGGCAGTAGGGGAAAACTAGTGTCTGTGCTGAAAACACCAGAGTGTTATCCTTTCAATTTTAATGAGTATTTTTACAGTGGGATATTTTTAAACCTTAAGAAAATTTGAGGAGTTGCTTTTTTGAATCCAGACGGGGTGAGAAAGCAGAAATACTCTTTTCTTTTAAGGGCATTGTTTTAATCTATTTCTTGAGGTGTTTAAGAAATAAATGTCACAGAATTGCCAGCATCAAAAATGCAAACATGACTCAGGATTGAGCCAAATTTGAGACAAAAATCTGTTGATCACTTCCATTTGTTTACTGGACTTAGACTTTAAGGAAGTTTTATGAGAAGTGGTAAGGGTTTAAGCTTTTTAAAAAGTGAAACCTTGATCTTTATATAATAATACTTTGTCTATTGGAGGGTGTAGGACTTGCTTTACATTTTATGATAAAATTTCTAGGTTTGTATCACTGAAGCTATCAGCATTGCCCACATTGGACTTGCATCAAATTAATTAGCTCAAATTATTTAGCAAATTCAAATCCCTTGAAAATCAGTGGAACTGTCTTCGCTTTCTTCTCTGTCAATAATTTGGTAGACCTGTCCTGTGTCCTGTTCAATTCAAATACATTGTATTTAAGTAAGAAGAAGTGGACATAGATCACCAGTAATTAATAAACGTAGTTATCTTGCTAATATCATTAGGAGCTAAATTTGAATCAGTTTAATATCTCTTACTTTTTAATGTTTTTTCTTATAATCTAAGGCCCTAGAGATGATTGTAAGAAAATTAGATTCTTGTATTGATACTTGCAAATGAAATAATCAGAACTTTTTTTGGTGCCGTAGGTTGCTTGTGGTGGTTGTCACATGCTAGTTTTTGCTGCTCCAAGACCTAAAGGATCTGAAGAAGTTCTCTTAGAAGATTTATATGAGAGCCATTTCACTGCTACTGTCTCTAAAATGAGTGGAGACTCACTACTAACAAACACCTTACAACTAACAGCAGCACGAATGCGACGTCGAGAGAGGGTAAATTCAAAGCTCTTTAGAGATGCCATACTTCTTTTTGGAAACAAAGTAACTTTTAAAGCTAAAATCACAGCATATACTCAGCAGACAAATATATCTGCTTAAAATACGTGTTTAATTTTAATGTATGAAAAGAAGAATGATTGTCTACCCTGGTCCCAAAATTGATGCAGGTAAAAGATAGGTATTGGTCAGATTTTCCTTGTTTATTTCTATGAAAAAGACTTAAATTGATTTTGTATTTTTAATTAGTTCTAAAATGTAGAGCCTGTTCCTTTGCATTTTTAAAAATATCTTGGAAATATTTTTAAAAAAGAACAAGAACCTGACTCTTTTTGTTGTTCCCTTTGAGTCCTTGAATATATTAAACAAGTTCACAGTTTATAAAATATCAAAGCAGAAAGTTTCACCATGAGCTTAAAATGATCCTAAGATCCTGTAGCTCTTAAAATAGTAGTTTCTTCTCCTTTATCTCTGCTACAGATTCCATATGATTTGCTTAAACAGCACAATGAGTTGGATCATTTCACTTACCTATCTGAAAACTAACTCTACCACAAAATTACATTTATTTTATAAAAATATATTGATGTTGTGGATTAAATACCTCAATGTTATTCGAGAGACTAGTGTTTTCTTTTTAAATGAAAATCAAAGTTATTTTTCTCCTTTGTCTGTATTTTAAGACTGCTTGAGATTATTGTGTAGAAAAGGCCTGAAATATCCCACGATATACCTCTCCACTTTTTAGGACTGTAAATAATTAAAATATTAAAGAAAAGGGTTTTATGCTTTGTATAGAAAGTTACAACACTGTATCATCAACTAAAAGAAAATACCCCTGTTAAGTATGAGAGGTTGCTTACATTTTATTCTTCCACTCTTATTATCAATGTATTTTTTTTTAATCGTCTAAAGGAAAAGTCACCAGAACAGTTTATTCGAATGGCACAGACTCTGCCTCCACTGGGAGAAAGCTTCTTAAGATCTTCACTACCTGTGACTAGCAACACTAGCCCACTCAGTTTTTCTGCAACAAGTCTTCGTAAAGCTGAACCCATGAAGGATAGAAACCATAAAAAAGGTGAAGTGTACCCACATCTTGCTGTTGTTTTCTGATAATTAATGTAGTTTGGCTCTCATTGTTCATAAACAAATGCTCAGTTTGAACATGAAAGAAGGTTTAAGTTCAGTCTTACCTCAAGAGGATCTGGCAGCATACAGACATGAAAGTTGAGAAATGCATACAAGAAATTGCCTTATTCTGTTCATGTTTGGAAAATGTTCTTAAAGATTTAGGAGAGGGTTGAGTGAAAGAAAAACAAATTCTAAATTGTACCTGTGGTTCCTCAAGCCTGTAGAAATAGAACTTCACAAAAATACTATAAGATTAGTAACCACTTTCTCCATTTTCACAAAAAAGAAAAAGAATTACGGGGAAAAAAAAAAGATTAGGAACGATCTTAAAGACGCAGAAAGGCCTACAAGAGACCTTGGATAAGCAAAGAGGTCTACTAATTCATACAGGATATTTCTTCCTCACTTGGAAATGCAAAAGTACTCTTTACTCTCTGTAATCTAAGATAATAAGGGTTTGCAATAGTCTAGCTAATGCAAAAGCCTGGATAACAATGATACGGATACAGCGCTGGACTTTTGCACAGATTCTCGAGAGCAGTTCTGGACTTCATCTGGGTTCCAGGGTGTGTGCGGCCTCCTGGGAAGAGCAGCGCTGAAGGGTGCAGAATGCAGTGCTTCAGTGTAAAAGTTGCTCAGATTTATTGGACAGTTGAATCCAATTTGAATGTAATTAATTCACTTAGAATTAAGATGATTATTTGTAAAACTGCCAGCCTGTCCATTAGCATTTCTGGTTCCAGGAAAGCAATGCAGTGAAATTTGAATTGACTTTAGAGACTTCTGAGGCCTAAAACCTCAGGGTTTGTGCCATATGAAACTGGTCATGTACCTGATGAACTTGAGGTGAACCTGAAAATGATGTAGGTACATTCTTATGATGCTGCATTGGAATTAAACTTGCTGTCTCTCCATGCGTTACACAAATAATATGACCGCAGCTAATTTACTCTAATTGGTACACTATTACTAAAGAAGCTCTATGCAAAAGAAGCTTTGCCCCATGTAATATTTATGCTTTGAAAACCTGCAAAAATGGTCAGAGATCTACAGTGCACTGAGGCCAGATTGCTGAGCTACCTCTAGTGTGAATACTGACAAAAAGGAGGTGGAAGTGTTTCTGCTGTGTCTTAGGCTGGGGGAATGAGGAATCTCAAGGACTTCAGTCTTATGTCAGTAAAACAGAGATAGTCTCTATTTTACAAGAGTGGGGTGTTCTGTTTGCTATATATTGCTTGTTCATACGGTTTTTGTTTACTTCCCCTTATTTTACCTTGAAGAAAAGAATAATCAAAAAGATAAACCTGGTGAAGGCTCTGCAGAAGAAGATTCCGATAATGAAAATAGTGACAGAAACCTTGGAGATACAACTGACATCCTAAATATGGTAATATATTCCACTAATGAATCTCTTAATTCAGTCATTTTTATGCAGGGGAAGGACAAAGCAAAAGCAGCTAAATCATGTTTCAGGTTCTAGTACAGAGCTCCTTGCTAGCCCAGAACATCATATGTGGCACCAAGATGTACTGACATACTGTTAATGAGCATGCATTTCATATCATCATTATCCAATGCTAAAGTTTGTTTTCATTTTCCAAGTAATGTTGTAATACGAGATTGAAGCAGTCCAAGTAGTGCAGCCCCTCCTTACGCTTTAGCTCTGGCTATCAGAAAGAAAAGGAGAAGGATGCTGGATACCACATGGTGATCTCTATCTCTGACCTTCCTCTCCCTGATGATTTCCAAGAGAGAGAATTGCAGGAAATGAAGCAGAGCACTGTCTTTTCCTGTTCTGAGAAGGGCTTTTTTATTACAGGTGGATCACATTAAAGGGAAGACCAAAAATGCAGACATTTTGATTATTTAGTGATCCCCAAGCATGTTCCTATGTACTTCTTTTATTTAAAAAATATTTTCATGTTATCACTTGCACACCTTTCCAAAACATTTTGTTCTCTTGGGCGATAAGGCATGTCCTGGCCTTACCACAGTGCACTGGAAAAAGTCTTGGTTTTTTAACTTCAATGGAATGGAAACAAATGACCAACTCACTGTGGACTCAGCTCAGAATATGCTGTCAGTTATGCTGGAGGGATTGCACATTTTACAGGAATTATTACTTGTTTGTACGTAACAGTGCTTAGTAATTTAAGAATCTTGTTTGTGCATACCATTTATTTAACAGTTACAAAACTTTGTTTTAATTTACAAGAAAAAAATTGTTTTCAGATATAATGCACAACGTAGCCTTCGTTAATTCACTGACACGTTATTTATAACGTATTGCACACTTCATGTGCTAGACTTCCTTCTCCTTTTTGTTTTTGTACCCACTGGGAAACGATTTTAAAACGTGTATCAGAATGAAACAGTAAATTTGAAAGAAGTCTGTCAGGCAAACTTGTCAAAATACAAAGAAAAATGATTGCTCTTCTTGAATCTGAATGAAAATAATCGGCTACAGCGTAGTTTTTTCAGTTTTTCTAAACTGTGGCAACATACAGCCTTATTGACAAGTGTGACAAGAGCAGAAAAAAACCATATTGATGATAGAAATTCTTTGGAGTCAGAAACCAGAACTGTCAATGCTCACTGTGTTGAAAGAGAATATGGTGGTTAAACCATAAGCAGTTAACGAACAGCAGAACATTATCTTGTCATTTGGAGTATATGGGAAGGGACAACAAAAATCGCACTATACTTGCCTGCCTATTAGCATCCTACATTCCCTTGCCTTTTGTTTTCTGCTTTAGGTAGAAGAGATAAAGGCATTAGACTCCAATGAAAATTTCTGCTATGTAATGTTTCTTTGAACACGTTCTTTCAAGGCTGTGGTATCAAACTGGATGTTAAGTTGAAGGTTGTGATGATAACGGAATAAGGTGTTATAGTTGTAGCCACAACTTCATGGTGAGTGGAAGGTGTATCTAAAATGTGCTTTGAGGGCTGTAAGAGAGGGCATGTAGCTTTCAGTCTCTACAGACAGTTTAGATGTTGACATCTAAGCTAGTTATCACTCTCTGGTTTTGTAAGCAGTAAATGAGGGAGTGGAAGTGAAATAGGTGACTTGAGCGATCATACAGATTTGTCTCAACCTGACTGTGCAATAGTATTAAAACGTTCATATAATAGCTCTGTTTAGTAGAACTGGGCTGTGATGCTGCTTTACCTATTAGTTATATGTTCAATAGAGATCTTCTTTTTTTGCAGACACATGCAATGAAATTGGATCCCAGTGACCAGTCCTTAAAATTATCACCACTCCAAAAACAAAAGGTACTGTGCCTAATTATACGTATATATGTATACTTACACTGATGTTTAAAAGATCTATAATTCTTGTATTATCCTTGTACTTTATTGTATTGCTTTGAGTTTTAAAAAAGCTAGGCAAATTTTATAGGCCTCCTCCTGATAATTTTCTGAGTATCCACAAGGTAAAATTCTGTGCAGCTGACTGAAGTCAGAGCGAATTTGTGCAGGCACACAGAATTCCTCATATCCAGCAGTTTGAGATGAGAGTATATAATACTTAAGCAGTTTAAGGAGCGAGAGACTATCATATACATGCTGTAACTTAAGCTGATAACATACATTTCTACTGGTTTGTTGATAATAAAATATTTTCATTGAGTTTTGGGACATAATGTAAGTAAAGATTTTTATTTACAGATATTCACCATGGACTATATTTAAAGGAGTAATAATGCTGGCTTTAATTGTGAAATTAAAATACTTCTGTATCATCTTTCTATTTCACCTCCTAAAGTGATCACAGCATTTCAGCATTTTGCTCTATTTCATTATAATTTTATTTTATATTTTAAAAAAACTTTTCTGCAGAATTTGGTAAATAAGTGTAAAATATAAAGCAGAAAGACAACAGATTTTCAAAGTTACTAGAAACTGCATAACAGTGAGTGCAGCAGAAGATGTCCGAAGGGGAAGAAAGGTGGAGGAAGGTGTAGAGAACAGTAGTTTTTTCCTTGTGTTCGCACAGCCTCACGCATTGCATGTGCTCTAGCTTATGGGACTGCATTCACTTTGAGTGCTTGGATAGTGCAAAAGGCGTAGTAGTACATTTACCATCAACAGAATGTTTCGTTCTTCTAATGTGTGCACTTGTAAATGCATTTCATGTGAAATACCCTACCTTTTATGCTATCCTTTAGTCTCCTCGCACAAATTGGTTCTTTTCTTGTTCAGATGTTTTTGTAAGCTTTTTCTTTTGCTGTCATTTGTCCTTAATGCTTTCCTTCTTTCTTTTTAATTTTCTGCTTCTCATGTGGAATAGAAGAACAAAAAAAAAGTGAAACTGAAAAGAGATGGTAAGGGGGGGCTGGAAAACAATGATTCTGATTTCATGAAGGAGGGCTCAAAATTAGACTCTGGCTCTTTACAAAAGCAGTCTTCCCTTTCAGAGTTACCGGGACAAGATTTAGAAAAAAGTAGTGCCTTTGTAGGGAAGCCTGTGGCCAAAAAAACCACAATGAAAGGTAAATTGGAGCATGCACAAAGTGTTAGTACTTTGAAAAGTGGTGTTCAACAAATTACTGGGGACAAATGCAGGTTAGTGAAAAGGGAAAAAGACTATGCGGAAAGTCCTGAGTTTGTCAGAGAGGATGGAACTTATAATCTTCCCACTGAAAAACAAATTCTGAATGAAAAAACAAATTCTTCCAATAAAAAGTCAAAAGCTGTTAAATCTAAACAGTCCCTTAAAATAGAGGTACGTCCTTCTGCATCCAGGGATCAGCCCCAGACTGATTCATTAATGATACAAAAATACCATCCTGTTAAAAAGCAAGGAAGTCAAGAAACAGTAGGAAGTCAAAACAAAATAAAGGATGATGTTGAAAAATCTGATAAATGTGAAAGAATATGTGTCAGAGGAGAAGAAAGTAACGAAGAGCAGAAAAGGTTTAAAAAAAAGGATCAGTTTTTGAAACAAATAGCTGTAACTATGTCATCATCTTCAACTGAGGAAAGTAGTAATGATCTTACAAAATACGTACTTAAGAGTAAGGAAAAAGACGAGGACTACTATGAAGGCAGAGAGGTCCAGAAAGCAATGAAAACAGTAGAAAAAGTGAAAGATTTGGACTTAGAAAAAGACGACAGTGAGACTGAGGAGATGCAAGCTACAAACAATGAGAAAGAATATATAGAAGAGACTGATATAAAAAGCCTGAATGATGAAGAAACAAACTGTGAAGCTAAATCCGATGATGACAGTCAGTTAGAGATTAAGAATGAGGAGGACTCTGATCAAGAGCAGGAGAGTGAAGGCAGTGAAAAGGGTGAAAGTGAAAAAGAAAAACTAGATGAAACAGTTAACAGTAAAAGTGAACTAGGAGAGGAAGAAGAAGAGAGTGAGGTTAAAAAAGATGAAGCTTCAGTAGGAGGAGATGAAGAGGAAAAAGATAATGAGGAAGAAAATGAAAGAGAGGAATCACAGGCTGAAAGAGACAGTGAGAATGAGGGTGCAGAAGAGACTGAAGAGATTAATCAGGAAGATGGCAAAGAACAAGGAGGTGAGGAAGGCAGGTTGATGGAGGAAGAAGAAACGCTGAGTGAGGGAGAAAAGGAGGATAAGGAGGAGGAGGAGTATGCAAAAGAGGAAGATACTGAAAAAGAAAAGGAAGAACAAGTGAAAAGTGAGGGAAGAGATGAGAGTGAGGGAGGAGGTGAAGATAAAGAGGAGGAGGAGGAGGAAGAAAAAGAGGTAGAGGCAGAAGGGGAAGGAGAAGATGAAAAGGAAAATGAAGAAAACAAAGAAAGGGAGACTGAAAAAGACAAAGAGGGTGAAGAGGAGGAGTTAGAAGAGTCATTGGTAGGGAGGGAAGAAGCAGAGGTATCTGAAGAAGAAGAGTTATCCAAAGAAGAACAGGAAAAGGAAGATTCAAATAGGAAGCCTATCGAGGTGGGAGAGGATGGAGTGGAAGAAGAAGAAGAGGGGGAGGATGAAGTAGAAGAGAAAAGAGTAGAGGGGGAGGAGGAAGAGGAAGGAGCAGAGGCAGAAGTAGGAGGGGAGGAAGGGGAAGAAGATGAAAATAAGGAAGAAGAGGAGTGGGAAAATGAAGAAGAGGAGGAAGGAGGGGTGGAAGAAGAGGAGGAAGGAGGGGTGGAAGAGGAGGAGGAAGGAGGAGTGGAAGAGGAGGAGGAAGGAGGGGTGGAAGAGGAGGAGGAAGGAGGGGTGGAAGAAGAGGAGGAAGGAGGGGTGGAAGAAGAGGAGGGAGGAGGGGTGGAAGAAGATGAGGCAGTAGGGGAGGAAGAAGATGAGGGAGAAGGAGTGGAAGAAGAAGAGGGAAATGAGGAAAAAGAGGGAAAAGGGGAAGAGGGAGAGGAGGAACAAGAAGGGGAAGAGGGAGAGGGGGAAGAAAGAGAAGAGGAGGAAGGGGAGGAAGAAGGGGAAGAGGAGGAGGAAGGGGAGGAAGAAGGAGAAGAGGAGGAGGAAGGGGAGGAAGAAGGAGAAGAGGGAGAAGAAGAAAAAGGGGAAGAGGGAGAGGAGGAACAAGAAGGGGAAGAGGGAGAGGGGGAAGAAGGAGAAGAGGAGGAAGGGGATGAGGAAGAGGAGGCTGAGGGAGAGGAGGAAGAAGGAGAGGAAGAGGAAAAAGCAAAAAGTAAGAGAAAAAATTACAGTAATAAGCTTCCACAAAAGAAAAGCAAAACCAGGAAGCCGGAGAAGATAGAAAGTACTGATTTACCAAAGAGCTCTAAACAAAAAATGAAATCCAAACAGCATGTAGCAAATGGTTTACAGAATTCAGAACAATTTTGGAACAATGTCCTACCTCATTATTTAACGCTGAAGTAGCATAGCCCACCGGAGATGCATTTTAAGCCTATTCAGGAAATTTGGAACTATGGCAGATTGATTTTTATTACTTAATTATTTTTTTTTTAATGTAGTCAAAATACATTCTTATGCATATACTTTAAGTGCCAATTTCTTGAAAAAGACTGACCATAATGTTTAGGTTTGGGAAGCTTTTATGAGAGAAATCATAGAAATTGTTGATAAGTCATTTACACAATTGTCTTTATTATGTATGACAGAATTAAAAACATAACTTCTGAGGAGGCAAAATGTGATGGCCTCTTAATTAAATTATAATGTGCTGACAACATGAATTATACATTGTAACAGTGTAATCTTTGTCTTTGAATCAGGTTTCTTATGGTAATACATCGATTTCAGTTCAGGATAGCTTACTTGTTAATGTGCCTTATATGAAAGGAGTGTCAGTAAATTATCAAGGATGCATCTTTTTAAATTTTGGTATCACTTCATTTCATTCCCCCTACTTTTCTTCTGTTCATATATTGGTAAAATGTTTGAGTACTCAGCGTAGATTAAAGAAAGGACAAGTTGCCAAATGTACACGGGTCACTAGATGTGAGGTAAATGGAAATGCAGGCCTGGGTCAATGGTGGCCTGGGCTTTTTCAAAAGCCTTAAGGTTGACTTCTTATTTTGGTGTCAGCACACAATTATGTGCAAAAAGACAAACACAAGTCTTAAGAATCTGGCCTAGATTACATTACAGTCAGAATGCATCTGTTTAGGGATAATTTTTGACTATCACATTTGGTGATTAGATATAATTAAGAATTTGAAAATATGCACCTGTAAAACATTATGTACTTGTTTATACTGTGCAATACACAAAAGATTCTATATCTGCCTACAAAAGACTACGTTGCATTAGTCATCTAACTCTAAGGTTCTCAAGGAGGGGAGTATATTTTGTTGCAGTGTGCAGTATATATATGTTTTCAGGATCAGAGCCTAAGTTTCTCCTCATTGTAGGAGATTTGCGTTTTTCCCTCCAAAAAATCACATCTGTCGTCTCCAAAAAGAGGACAATGTAGTAAAATAGGAAGCCAGATGGAAAAGTAGAGAAATTAGCTTGAAAGCCTGAGTTCTTTTTGGAAAAGACAAAGTATGTATGTTACTACTTCTGGAGTTTCCTTAAAATACGCAAACGAATCTTGCAAATTATTTTTGTAAGATACTGCATTACTGTTTCAACTATTAGTGGTCAAACTGGCAAAAGAAGGGATAGGGACTCATCATATGCTTAAATACTCGTCATTACTTAAATACTATGCTAATGGGTTGTCTGAGAAATTTTTGTAAACAGATCTCGGTAATGACATTCTCTAGAAAAATAGTTATTTAACTCCTGTTTGGAAATGAGGACAGGAGAAGAAGGAATCAAAATCAGTAAATGTCATTTAATAAAAAATTTAATGGAATCAATACTTATGTTGAGATTATGAAACATTTTTAATGTTGTTTTGTAAGACACTGACATTAAACTCTCTTTGACACAATGTCTCCAGAATTTATTTTCTAAAAGACTGTAGTAGATTAATAGTTTGTCAGTAGATTCTAGTCCAGTTCAATCCTTCTTACTTCAGTCACCCCTTCCATGTACTGCATTTGAAGGTAGGATCACTTTCAGTCACATGCTGTGCCTGACTGTAACAAAAAGTTAGTCCAGTGACTGTATTTTGTCCCTGTGAAATTTGTCTCAAGCTTTGGGATTTTCTGGAAGACATTGTCTTGACATCAGCACGCGTAAGTCTCTTGAAACGGGTAAGTATCCTCATATTCTGATAGAGTGGAATATTTTAAGAGTTAAATGTGCTTCCCAGGAAAACAGCGCTCTCTAACAATGGAGTCCTTGGTTATTTCGCAGCAGTGCTGCATTGTCACTGAACTGCTGCGAAAATATTTACTTTTGAAACTAAGTGGATCTAAGCTGTATTATTTTATCTTTCTTAGGAAAGATTAGGATGTTACTGTAATTGAACTTAGAGTAATATTGAAAAGTATTTTTATAGACCTAAAACTGTGTTTCTTGGATACAACATCTACTTATTTGCGATTCTAAAATTTGGCTTTGGAAGAAAAGTGTGCTGTGAAAAAAATCTGTTATTTCTTGTGAAAAATAGTTGCTAGAGAGAGGGGGGAAAAAAGTGAGAGCACTTTGAAGCAAGGGATTTCCAGTTCCACATAGGAATGGCTCTTCATTTACTGTTTGGCTGTAGCTTTTAATCTAAATCCTTAGGCAAGTGGGGAGCATTTGTTGATCCTCTCTTAACATGCGCTGATAGCATAAAGCTTCCCAGGAGAGTAAAGGAAGCCAAGTTACGGGCATCTCCTCTTCTTTGTTTTGTCTGGATGAATATTCATTGAATTGAGAACTGGTTTTATATTGTTTTGTGGATCATTCCTGTGGCAGGGGAAAAGCAGAGCATTATTCCAGCACTTCTAAGGGTTTTCCACAGAACCGTTATATAAATTGTACACTGTGCCAGTGTTTCTGGGCTTTGGGGGGACTTTGGAACTCCATTAGCGTAACGAGTGGAACTTTATTTATTTTGACTCATACTGGTTTATAAAGTTTGGTACTTGTGGTTTTGTGGAAATTCAGTGTGTCCTTGGTAGTTATTATGGGGTACTAAAAGGTTTCTGCGCAGTGCTTAAGCAACATGGCAGAAGTACTCCTGAATTACTTTTTAGTGGAGAAAAAAACATCCTGCAATAAAGAGAGAAAACAACAGACAACTGCTCAGACCAAAGGTCTGTCTAGTCCAATAGCTTTTTTTCTACCAGTGGCTACTGGTGAATGTCTGGCAAAAAAATACAACAGTAGAGCAAACATGTAGTGTTACTTCTCCTGTGTAATCATTAAGTATTCCG